CCCCCCCTTTTTTTTTGAATTTAATCTTTTATAATGGATGTTTTGCCACTGCCAATCTTTACTTCAACGGAAAGAGTAAAGAGTACGCTTTAGTACTTGCCAAAAGACGCATTGTACACCCACATAGAAGCAGCTTTCTATGTTTCGATATCTTTTTTATTTTTATTTTTATTTTTTGTGATTGGTTTCTATGTTTTGATATCCATAAGTACATAATACACTTGAGCATCATAGTTAAAATTGGCAGAAAACTAAAATTGTCCTCTACAACAACAACGTACTCAGTGTGATCCCACAAGTGGGGTCCGGGGAAGGTGGGGTGTACGCAGACCTTATCCCTACCTTGTCCTCTTAGTTATTCAGATAAATGTACAGCGGAAAATACTAAAAATATGGAAGTTGACTTCAGAATTCAAACCACATGCATACCATAGGCTGACCAAAAGGTGTCATCATCCCCCCATAGTACGGGTCAGCATATACATTTGGAGCACAAGCCTGCATGTTACAGAATAACTTCAAAATCAGGGGGAAAGAAAGAAGACATCTACCAGTGAGATAACTCCGTAAGCAGATCCAAACTTCTCAAACCCCATAGAAAAGTCAAACATACTTACTATTGAGCGCGTAACAAGTTCAAGCTGTCCGGGCTGTATTTGGGTCCCATCACCCTTTGGAGGTATGGTTGATGCAATTGGCTGTAAATTTTGATCAACTTGCGGATAACTCCTTTCCCCATCTAAATTTAAAACAAGACTGCATTAGCATTACTTAAGTAATTTATAGCCATTAAGAGATATATATTTTTCCCATCTCTACCACTGCACTTCCCTCCTCAACAAATATGGCACCTTCATTTCCCCCACTATGGCAAAAGATTAAAAAAGGAAGGGAAAGTAACTAGACAAATGAAGCATCGTGGCATGCTTCCAATCCTTAGCACCAACAACAATTACAACTATGCCTCAACCCCAAGCAAGTTGGGGTCGGCTGTACGAATCCTCACCGACCATGTCACTCCATTTAAGTTCATTTCAGACTAATGTTATACAAAACAAAAGAAAAAATAGTACTAGAACTTCTCTATATTTTCTTCTTTTGGTAAGTGGTTCTCTAAATTTTCTAACTGTATATAGATTCTGTTAGGACTAAAAGACACCCAGAAAACATAGGACCTAAAGTAAATGTACTAACATACCTAAAACATATTATTAACTAAATGGTATCGGCTATATATATCTTTTATTCCATTTCCCCCTATTTCTCGCTAAGTTTGCATGAATTCCAAGAGAGTATAGGTCTTTCCCGACAATTTCCTTCCATGTAGTTTTAGGTCTACTTCGTTCTCTTGTAGCACTTACACTCACCATGGTTTCGCACCTACAAATAGGTACATCTCGACAAGACATGACCAAACGATCTCAAGCTACCTTCTCTCTTTTATCCTCAATTTGTGCTACAGACTAAAGTTGATTAACAGACGACACATGACCAATGCTGCATACCTCCGAAAATACGAAAAAGATCAAGATAATCCATAAAGTGCTGATGCTATTAACTAATTCCACTAACCTGAAGTAACCAAAAAAAAAAAAAAAAAG